GAGCTATGAGTGGAAGTGTCTGAAACCAAACCTGGCATTGATCTCTTGCCTGAAATGAACTTTCAAGGACTAGGAAAACTACTTCTCAATTTCCCCCTGAAAACGCCCCCTTCCCCCAGGCCATTGTACATTGTGTTCCCCCAGCCAGGTTCAGAAATTGGAAATAAGCTCATCTGGAGGAGGCAGGCGGGGGGGGGGGCAGAGACACACTAGGAGAAATAAATTGAAGGCAGGGGATTAAGCATCATTCTCATCTATGCATTCTCCTCTGCAGTTGCCCCTACACACACACAGGAATTGTGCATTATCTTGGCAGACAAAGGTTTGGAAAGAAACACACACTCAGTGGTTTTAGCAGGAGCCCTGGAGCTCACCTTCCTAGTATTTCCATCAGATCTGGCCAATCCAGAGGATTCATACTGCCTTCCAATCACAGCAGCTGGTGTTGTGCTATGCAATTCCCTGCTACGCCTGAAGTCCCTTTCCTAGGCTAGATCCCAAACTTGAATATTCATTAAGTTTCTGGTTTAAGCATCTGATATCCTAATAAGGTACATTAAATATGTATCTGTAGAGATATTCCATAGAAGATGTGGAAAGCCAAAGGTGCAGAAAATGCCCCAAGAAGAATTTCTGGGGTTGAATTATCCAAAAAATACTAGTGCACACATCTCTCTCCTCCACCCACAATTGTTTACATAATAGACTCTGGGCAGGACAGATCATACAGACCAAATAACAAATACAGACAAATAACATGCTATGCTAAATAAAGCTAGGAGAATTTGCTATCAATGGAGATACAACCATTCAATCAGAGGTGTCATTCATGGGCCCGGGCATCCTGTTCTTCAAACTACAGGTGTTTATTGGCCTTATTACTTCTTACTATCTCCATGATAGAACTCTGCATATTGAAAGCCTGTTGTTCCAAACATACAAATGAACTAATTTACATAGTATGCACACCAAAAGCACAAATCCCTTTACTTTTATTTTTAAAGGATAAATAACAACTTACAAATATTTTCTAAAAGTTTTACAGAGATTAAAAGGCAGCACAGAAAGAAACCACAGAGAATGCTCTTAAAATGTCCCTTTCCACACTTCTGTTCTTTACAAAAGCAAGTGAAAAATATCACTCTTATTCCCAGCCCCCCAATCTGAAAATGACACCCCAGTTGTTGTTACAGAAAAGCTGTAGCCTTCTCTAAGGGGGGAGGGGAGAAGTTTGTCTGGCTGGTCTGGGACCAGAGATGGGGCAGGGTGGGGAGTGGCGGAGACATGACAAGGGCGACCGCAAGAAGGGGAAACACTTGAGTAGGTTACTTAATACAGGATTATATAAGCAGAGAAGGGGGGGGTGTAGGTGGATGCTTAGTTACTGGAGCTAACCATGGTTCTTGTGGAGAAAGCTAAAGAGAAAGCTAAATTATGGAGGAATCTGAGGAGAAAGCTAAATTTCCAAGGCTGGAAATTTCCTGGAGGTCATTAATCTCTCCCTTAAAACAGCATCCATCATAAGCACAAGGTCTAACTAGAGAAGATAGATGCAGCACAGATTTCCCCATTTTAGCAGTGAAGGGCTGTGGGGTCCCTGCAGTTCTGAAGGAGATTCCACACACCATATAATTTGCTGCGTTGAAGATAGATGTGTGTAGAAAATAACAAGCAAGAGGAACATTCAAGATGGCTGGACAAATGAACCCAGGCACAGTTCTGTGGGTACCACAGACCCATGTGAGCAGGTGAAGGGAAATAGATGGGTCGGCTAAGAGCTGTGTAAATATGATAGACTTGTGAAGTGTGGGTATGTGGTTGGATAAGCAGAATTTCTAAAAACAAGTTGTACACAGTGTCAATGACAGAAGCAAAGAAGAAGATATATATATAGTAAGGAGGAGAAAGGGAGCGAATAGAGCCTGACTTGCACGCTGACTGAACTGACGGAGGAGACTCCAGCCCACAAAAGCTGCTGCCACATTAAATTTCTCAGCCTCCCAGAGGCCATCTGACTCTCTGCTGTCTTTGCTGCCGCAAACTCAGTTACCTCTCTGAAAGTTGTCACCAGGCTGACTATCATTCCTCTCCACCACACAAGCATGAAATTTGTGTGGGGGGTAATCATATGTCCAATTTGTTTGAGGGTGTTACTTGTGCATTGTGAGAGTTGGGTCTCCCCCTGGAACACCCAACATGTGTGGGGTCGAGGGGACCCTGCTCTTTCCCACCAGACAAGAAGGAATGCCTGCCTGGGAAGGGCATGAACCAAGGGAGAGGAAGGCAAGGCCCCTTTTAGGCCGTAGTGGACATCACCCTTCCTAAGTCCAGGTCTCACTTTTAAGCTGTGACTTGGGATCCATGATTTTTATCTCACATAGTTAGGGTACTGTAACCTTTTACTTGCTCACTTTATCCAGGCCGGATATTTTCTCGCTTCCCTTCCTTTGTCCTATTTCTCTGCCAGGCTTTCTCCTTCTCTTGATCTCTGCTCTCTCTTTCCCTTTCTCTCTCATGCTTTACTCTTTCCCTCCTCGTCTCCTCGTCTCCAAGAGATGGTTGCGGCACCATCTTGCCCAAGCCTCCTCTTTCCCACAGTGGCCATACAGACGCCTCGGGGAAGCAGAGCACAGGCGACCCTTGGATCCTTCGCTGCTTGTTCTCACAACATATGGTACCCAAAGGTATTCTGCCTCTGAACGTGGAGGCTCCAGTCTGGCTACAAGCCACTGGGAGGCCTCTCATCCTTCGCGCCTTTGTCCAATCCCCTTCTGCAGCCCACTCAGCAGCAGCCAGGGCCCCAGACATCTTGCGCGGGCAGCGAATTCCACCAGTTCATTCTGCACAGAGCGCAGAAGTGCCCGTCACTCCGTTGCACCGAGGGGTCGTGAAGTTCTGGCAGCAGCAGAGGCAGAGGGAGGGAGACAAGAGGATGACCCTCAAAGGGAAGGAGTTCCCTCCCCACCCCGGGAAGCACAGGCAAAGGCCAGGTGGGGCTGCGGGGGGCCATCCCGGTCTTGCCAACCTTCCTGCCGCCCCCGCCCCCATTTGCCACCTGCTGCCGGGCCCAGAGATTCCTGCGCTTCCGCCCCCCGCGTGGGAGCCCACGCCAGAGCCCCCTCCCCGCCAAGGCCCCCTCGCCCTGCCCGCCCCGCCTCCGCCAGACTCTTCCCCACCGCCCCCCCACGCGCTGCCAATCAGGCCTGCTCGGCCAATCAGGAACAGAGAAAGCCAGCCCCGGCAGCCTGTGGAGCCCGCCCCCTCCCCTGCAGTTGCCTGGAAAAAAGCAAGCGCCGGAGCGCGCCCGCCCGCCCGCCCGCCTTGCCATCCCGAGCAATGCGCCAAAGGAGAGCGCGGAGAAGGCGCTCGCTCGCTCGGTGCCCTTGGCGAGCTGCCGGCGGACTCGGCGGCCGCGCAGGCAGGCTCTCCTCCCCCCGCCCTCGGCGCCGGCCGCCTGGTCTCCTCCACCGCCCCGTCTCCTTCCCAAGACGTCCTTCTCCGGAGCCGTCCGCCCTCGCAACGAGCTGAGGTCGCCATGAGGCCCGTTGGCTGGCCCGGGGCGGAGCGGGCGGGGGAGAAGGCCAAGAAAGACAGGGAGCCTGCGGGACAAGAAGCAGTGTATCTCGGGGGGATAAACCCCAAAGGGAGGCTCACATCCCCTCGCATCCTTCCAGCGCCGCTTTCGCGCTACCATGGGGCGTTTGGCTAGGCTAGCCTCTCCCGGGACCGAAGGGACCTTTGGAGCTGAGCGAGATCAGCCGGGCTCTGAGATGGAACACCCCGCAGAATACCACCCCCCCCATCTCCCTGCTGTCTCGGGCCTTTCTAGACCCATCCCCGCGTACTTCAGCCCTTTGCCCTCGGTTTTCTCTCTCGCCATCCCGCCAAGTGATACAGCGATCGTTTCGTCTCCTTTCTTCGTTCGCAGTCTCCCTAGCCAAGCCCTCGGCCCCTCCGTTTCCTTTCATTATCCAGCCCAAGCCACTGAAAGAAGCTGCCCCCAAAGGATCCCGAGAGATTCGTTCCCACATTCACATGCTCTTCCATCAGCCAAGACATTTTGGGGAGGGAGAAGGAGTGTTTCCCTCCCCCACATACGACAGCAGGGATGGGGGAGGCTTGGAGCTGTCAGAAGCTTAAGTGGCTGCCCCCTCCTCCTGCTGCCCTCCGTTTAATGCAGGTACATCGCTGCAGTGGGTGGGTGGGTGGGAGATCCCTATTGGGCTTGAAGTACGCCCCCACCCACACCCCCTTTGCTGATCTGGCCAGGTACGTCACCGGCGCTGCCTCCTCTCTCGCGCTCCCTTTTCGCTCCGTGTGTGTGTGCGCGCTCAGCGCTCTCTCTCTCTCTCTCTCTCTCTCTCTCTCACACACACACACACACACACGGTCACCACAGGAACATGTCGCTGTCACCTTGAGATGCAGGCAGGCATTGCAAGGTGCACCGGCGGAGAAATAGACGCCAAGGCGAAAATGATGGGAAGGGGCAGTAGAGGAGGTGGGAGCGGGGCCACGCGCGAGACACGGGACGCTCTCCCCCCCTCCCCTGCCCTCCCCATGCACATTTTGCCACTTCTCCCTCTCTAAAGCTGGAGCCGCTTTCGAATTCTGCCTCCTCCTCCTCCTCCTCCAGGTCTTCTGCTCAACGCCTCTCCTCTCTTCCCTCATCCCTAAATTAAAGGTTGCAGGGAAAGTCTAGTAAGGTGATTTTTTTTCTTTTTAAATCCCACCCGACCACCCAACCTTTTTTTCTGCAGTGACTTGTCCGCACGCCATCCCGACCGCATTGCCCTCCCTCCCCGCGCACCCACCCCCAGCTCCGCGCATCTCTGCATTACAGATGACGGAGGCTGCCCGGAGTCCCCTCCATATCCCCCCTCCGGAAAAAAACCCCCAGGCTCTTTTATTTTTATGTTTTGACCGACAGTCTTTTCCATCTCTCTTTATTCCCTCAACTCCCCTCCAAAATAGAAAGTCTCCTCAAGAGGAGCTACTTACCAGGCCATGCTAGAACCCAGGAGAGACTGAGGTGGGAGGAGGGAGGCAGGTGAGGGAATCCGCTGCGGGGAGAAGATGAAGCGTGGGGTGGAACTGCGGGTCTCTCTCTCTCTCTCTCTCTCTCTCTTGGCCCGGATCCAGTCGAGAGGAGGAGGAGAAGGAGGGGGAGCTTCCTCGGCCTGATTTGCCCCCCTCAGGAGGGGATCGGAGGGAAGGGGAGGGTCAGGGCAAGGGTGGGGGGAGCCGGTTGTCTACAGCCCCGGGGATGCTGCGGCTGGCATCGCAGCGGCTACATCCTGCAAGGATGGAGAGAGCTCGCTGAACGCTGGTCCAGCTGCAAATCTCAGCAGAGCGGGGAGGGGGAGACGAGGGGAGGAGGGGAACTGTGGTGCAAGCGGGGGGGAGGGAGATGTGACTGGAGGCCGAGAACCAATCGCAGTTCTAGCCTCCTGCACCCCCCTCCCCCACTTCACGCAGCCAGGTCCATCCCCCCCAACTCCTCCTTGTTCTCCACACCTCCCCAAATCAAGAGACACCCATAGATGTATTGCTGGAACTCACAGATGGCTGCTTCCTCCCCCCACTCCAGTCCCGGTGATGGTACGTTCCAAGCAGCCTCTCCGTCACTGATGGAAAGGATGCAGGGATGCAGCGATGGAAGGACCATCTGCTTGGTGCAGATCGTACCTGCCCCTGTAGAATCCCAGCCACAGCCACAGAGTCCTTGGCCAAGTGGGTAGCTCCGGATGCCTGAGTGGTGCTGGTGGCGGTGGATGGGCTGAGAGGGAGTGCCTTTCCCAAGCTCATCCACGGAGCTTCATAGCCAAGTGGTGATTTGAACCTGGGCCTGCCACAGCCAAGCCTCAAACTCTTATCCATTGCATTCGAGCGACGCAGACACAGAGTGGCAGGACCCAGCTAAGGGTGCCACACACAACAGAAGAGAGGGCTTTTTCAGCCATTTTGGCAGGGTGCTGTGGAGAGTCAGGAAAACTGCCCTTGCCACCATGTCACCCAACACCACTACTATTATGAAGGGTAAAAAGGAGGAGCCCTTTACTCCTTTCCTCTACTCAGAGCCTATTGCACTTGCACCTGGTGCTTTTGCTGGATCCTGCAGCTATTGAACAGAAAGACACCTGGGTGAATTTGGATCAATCTAGCTGATCTCCTGTGCCTATCTTCTTTCTATCCTTTTGTTTGTGCAGTGCTATAATCCCTGCCAGGTTTTGGGTCATTACAACTGTCTGTGATATCTCTTCCAGTCAACTATTCTCATTTTTTCTCTCCTTCTGACTGCTGAAAACTTCATGAACAGGGTCACAATCCACCTCAGCGCTTGGTTACGCATGTTCAAGCCCATCTAAATAATGAAGTGGTTGAAAACAAACATTCCTGATGTTCAGCTACTTTTCCATACTGCCTGATGAAGCATTCTGTAACTTGAAGCTTGCATTCTCTGATGACAGAATAAAGTAGTCAGACAGATTACATCTGTCACCAAAACCAATTTGTGTTAGAACTGAACAGAAATGTATCAGAAGACTAATCCCATCCTTTTCTCTCACCGTCCCCTAGAAAAAGTAGGCCACTTTGCAGGATTGTTTCCAAATATTCTCGTGTGTGTGTGTGTGTGTGAGAGAGAGAGAGAGAGAGAGAGAGAGAGAGATGCCACTGCACCCTCCTCAATGCCCTGGAAGGACTCCAAGTATTGAGAAGGATGCAAAAGAGTGACCAGGTACACAGTTGCTGCTGTTGCCACTTGCAAGAGCTACAATAACTAATCACAGGGTTGTGGTGGTGGGGGGGGGGGATAAAACTATTCTACTGTCACTGCTTATAATAAGTCTCACCTCTGAGAAATTGCAAGAGAATTTCACCCCACCTAGGAAGAATTTAGTGAAATGGTCTTCAGCTTCCACCTCCAATTTCTTTGTCCACAAATAAGAGGTGATTCACTTCACTAGGCACAAAGATTTGCCCCCAAAATTGACACTCTGAGCACCTATCTTCTGCAAAACAGAAATCTAAGAGATCAGCATTTGCTACCATAGAAATATTATTGTCCTTCATTTTGTACAGGTTTATGTTGCCACATCTAGCATGTTATGACCCATTGAGATTCCAGATGCTTGAGAAACAGGTCCCTATCCTGTGTGTTGCTGTTGCGATTTATGGAGCAGTTTGCAGTTCTAGGCTGGCAATGAAAACAGGAGGTTTATCAAGTTCTTCTTCATGGACACTCATACAAAGCAATTGGTTTGGTGGGTGTGGTGGTGTAAACATTGCACTTACCAAGGGTTGCTGTGGAGCTATTGATGAAGGCTGCAACTGATGCAATTCATAGTGGTCTGACAGAGGTTACCAAGTGCAGAGTGGATGCCCCGGTGTCGCTGCTTTTTCATAGCTTACAATCAGTGCCATTAACTACGAACCCCAAAATATGGGATCCCCTTCAAACCAGTTGATTTGCAGCATCTTGCAGAGATAACCAGTGCTTTTTTCTGGGGGGACGCAGGGGTACGCATACCCCTAAACATTTTGTGAATCTTTGTACTTTTGTCCATTTACTGCATTTATTTTTCCGGATTTGAATTATAAAATGGTGATTTTCTTGAATCAAAATGAGAGTACCCCAAACATTTTTAAAGAAAAAAAAGCACTGGAGATAACCCTGCACTTTGCAGCACCCCACAAACTGAGCAATTGATACACCAAACATGGGGTTTGTACTTAACATTGACTATGAACCCTAAAATTTGGGGTCCCCTCCAAACCTTCCTACAAACTGTTGCCTGATGATGGCGTTGGCATATAACTACCGAAAGAGCCCAAATTTTCATTTCTTTGAGGCAACCAGTGGTCTCAGGCTGACATCATGAGAGCCTTTCTAGCCACACACCCCAGGAAAGTCCAAAAATGCAGGCAGATATGTTGATCTACGTATTTGGATCAGGTTCAAAATCTATCATACTCCAGAATCCTGTTCCCACTGTGACCAGCCAGATGCCAGTGGGAAGTTTGCAAGCAGACCAGAGTACAACAGCGCTCTTTGCACTTCTGCTACCCAGCAGCTGCTGTTCAGAGGCATGCTCAAAGCCCTTCATCATCTTGGTTACTCTTTTCTTATCCCCCCCCCCAGCTTTCTGAGAAACTTATTGAGATGAGGCACCCAGAACTGTACACAGTGCTCAGGTGCAGTCTCACCACAGATTTGTATTATGACATTATAATATTGACACTTTTATTTTCAATGCCTTTCCTAGGGATTCCTAACATGGAATTTGCCTTTTTCACAACTGCCACACACTGAGCCATAGCTGTCAATGTTTTCCTTTTTTAAGGGAAATTTCCTTATTCCAAATAGGATTCCTCACAAGAAAAGGGAAAAGTTGACAGCTATGCACTGAGCTGACACCTTCATCAAGGCCAAGGTCTCATTCCTGCTCAGTCACTGTCAATTCAGACCCCTAGCTATGGGAAGTTATATTTTTTTGCCCTGATGTACTTCACTGTTAACTTGTTTACACTGAATTCCATCTGTCATATTACTGTCTATTTACCCAATTTGGAGAGATCCTTTTGGAGTTATTCGCAATTTCCCTTTGTTTTATCAATCCTGCAGAGGCTGGTATCATCTGCAAACTTTGCTATCTCACTGTTTACCTCCAAATCTAGATAATTAATGAACAAATTAAAAATTGCTGGTCCCTAGCACTGATCCTTGGTGGACTCTGCTTTCCACAACCCTTTGAAATACTGTCCATTTCTCCTCTCTGCTTCCTGTTTCTTAACCAGGACCTCTCCTCTTCTCCCATGACTGTTAAGCTTAATCAGGAGTCTTCAGTGAGGTACTTTATTAAAAGTGTTTTGAAAGCTGAAGTACACATTGTCAGCTGGATTGGTTGTGTGGATGCCATTCAGACCCAGTAGTTTGACAATCTTCAATTCTCAATGAGGCCTAGAAATTCATCACTTGTCACTATTAGTCTCTATTATAATCAAGCAGCAGTACAGAGCACAGAACTCAATTTCTTAGACCTAGCATTAGCGCAATCGTAAGCACAGTTTCCTGGGAGTAACTGCATTGAACTCAGTGGTGTTCAGTGGTGCTTCCTTCAGACTACGAAGGTTCAACTTTCAAAGCATATAGAGCTTTCTTTACCGAAGGATCTTCAGTGAGTTGAAATGCAGCCTTTTGCTTTTAATTCAAAAGGCAAGCGATCTCGTAAAGAAGCGTTACCTTTAAAATTGCCTCGAAGAAAAGGAAAGAAGTATCCAGCCTCTGCTTTATTTATTTTCCTGATTATCTGACTTCTTCTGTGCTAATCTTTTACAAACAAACTGGAAAGACTCATTATCCTCTCATTCAAGACTTGCCAGAGCCAAGAAAGGTTCAACAGTTATCCCTTCACTCTGCAAAGAAGTTGCCTTTCCCTCCCTCCCTCCCTCCCTTCCTTCCTTCCTTCCTTCCTTCCTTCCTTCCTTCCTCCACACCAGTTAATAATTTTTCTGCAATTCCATTGTGATGCCTGAGGGCTCTGTGTGTGTTAGCAAGGCCAAAGGAAGGTGCATTCTAGGTGCTATTTCCCCAAACTAAAAAGCCCCAGGCTATGGAGATCAACCCAATGCCTGAGCCTCCTCCTCCCTCCCCCCCCCCCCCCGGTAATGCAAATGTAATAAGAACAAGTCACCCCGAGCATGGAAATTAAATTGTCATTTTGTCCTAAAAGGTGGTCTAAAAATGTCTAAATAAACATATAATTAAAATAATACATTAATGTATATCCCATGTTTCAGCTTAAAAATTGCCCCCAAAGGTGACTAACAAAATCACATCAACCATTAAAGTCATTAGCCTGGATTATCAAGTAGACATTCATATCACGTGTCTGAAACACATTGAAAAAGCCAGGAAACTGTGTTTTCTTATGGGTGCTGGGAATTGTAGCTTTGTGAGGGGGTGAACTACAGTTCCCATGATTCTTTGGGTAGGTGCAATGCGCTTTAAATGTTGCATGTGTCTCACAGGGGAGGGTCATTCTTTAACACAGCGGCCACCACAAGGGGCAAGCAAACTTCTGCAAACTGTGGCACGCAAGTTGTTTGTTAGATGACTGTGGGGAAAGGCAATCTCTCTTTTAAAAAATCATAAACAAATTTATTACAAAGAACTAGGAAACAAATCAGGAAGCAATAATTTAAAGAAAATGGACACTGAATTGAGAATATGGAATTGAGAATTCCATATTCTCAATACAGAGAATTCCATAATTGAGAGAATTCCATAATTGAGAATATGGAAATAGCATTGATGAAATAGCATTGATACAGGCATTGATATCTGACATTGTATC